AAAAAAAAAAAAAAAAAAAAGCAAAAAACAAACATGTCCAGGCATAATTTGTCAGATAGTGATAAATGGAATGAACATAAATTAGAGTATTGGGATAATGTATTGGAGAGACGGTAGTCAGCAAAAACTTCTCTGATAGGTGGGTATAGAAGTGAAGGCGTCTGAGGGAGCGGGGGTGGGTGGACATGACAGAGGGAAGAGTGTGTTGATCAGAGGGCCGGCAAGTACAAGTGCAAAGAGCTGGAGGTGGGAGTTCGTGTGGCACATTCAAGGCACAGTGAGGAGGCATGGTACCTAGCCAAGCCTGAGTGAGAAACAAAGACAGAAAGCTGGAGCTTTCAGATCGTGGTGAGGAGATTACAGACCACAGTGAGGATTTTGATTTGTTCCAGCTGCCGTGAGAACGGTTTGTGCGGGCAGGGTGGTGGGGGAGTTGTCTGTGCAAGACAAATTGATAGCCTGGACTACAACGAGAACACTGGAGTCGGTGAGAATTTGTTGGACTCTGGAAGTAATTTTGAAGTTGAGCCAATAGGGTAGCTGACGGTTTAGATGCACAACGGAAGAGAATAAGACGCATCAGGATGACTTCAGGTTCCTGGACTAGGCAACTGAAAAAATAAAGTCTCATGAGATAAAGAAGACTGTGGGGGAGGGGAGAGCTTTTTCATGGGAAGGTATAATGACGACTGTGTTTTGGTATTAAATCTGAGATGCCTACTAGACATCCAAAGGCAGGTGTCCAGCAGGCAGTTGCACATGGATCCAGAATTCAGAGAAGAATGCTCTAAAGACCTGAATTTGAAAGTCTTCAACAGATAGACGTATTTAAAGTCTTAGGACTGGCAGGAATGCAAGAGTGCATGTGGATGGAAAAGAAGACAGCTTCAAGACAAGGGAGCCCAGGAAAACTCTGGTGTTTGGAACAACAGACATGACTGTAAAGTTATATTGGATTTAAAAGAGGGAACTTTAGGGGCGCCTGGGTGGCTCAGTTGGTTAAGCAGCCGACTTCGGCTCAGGTCATGATCTCGCGGTCCGTGAGTTCAAGCCCCGCGTCGGGCTCTGTGCTGACAGCTCAGAGCCTGGAGCCTGTTTCAGATTCTGTGTCTCTCTCTCTCTGACCCTCCCCTGTTCATGCTCTGTCTCTCTCTGTCTCAAAAATAAATGTTAAAAAAATACTATATTAAAAGAGGGAACTTTAATTTAAAATGGAATAGATTGCTTCAGAGATAATGAGTTCCTGCTCCATGCTCACAAGCAGCACCTGTTCCCATCAGTCAGAGATGCTATAGGGCTCCCAACAATGGGTGAAAAGAAGGAGCACATCACCTCTAAGCTCAAAGCCATCAATATAGGAGATAATTTACTTGGAATCAAGTGATCTTCAGTTAAAGGTCTGCCCTTAACTTGCTCTGTGGCTTTAAGGAACTCACGAAACCTCCTTAGTCTTCACTCTCCTCATTGATAAAATAAAGGAGTTGGATATTCTTCACCATTCTCTTCTGAGACCTAAAAGTCTGTAATCACCAGGTATCCACTTCTGTTCTTTTTATCCCAGACATTATAAAACTCAGGTATGAAAAAAAGTGATTTAATAAATCCAAAGAGTTGCTGATTTGCTCAAAATTAATTAATTAGATTCTTGGGAGTCTGACAAAGGCACAGCCTTTCCAGGTAGTTCCTGAGATATCTTCGCCAGAGCTCCTGTTTCCACGTCCACTCTGAGGTGATGCAGGTGTATGTCTGTGATAAGCCATAGCAAAGGGAGAAAACTTAGCCCAATTCAAACAATATGAGCCTTGACCCAGAGAAAAGTACAGCGCTGGATGCCTTAGGACACGTGAATAGGTCTTCTGGGCTTTCACAACCTGGTCATTAGAGAAGCTGGATAAGCAATTCTAGCAAAGGGGAGAAAATAATTAGTACCCAGAGATGAATAGCACTAGCTGCAGAAAGACGGGTAGGAGATTGGCCATCTGTTGGCAAGCTGGGCTTAGGCAGAAAAAGCTGGTATTCATGTGAGGGTCTGAGATGAGTAGGGTTTCTAGGTTTGATGAAGAATAGAAGCTTTGTAATCAAATGGGCCTGGGCTCCAAACTCAACTGTATTAGCAATTAGCTGTGTACCCGGTGGTAAGACTCTTCACTGTAAACTCAGGCTAATACCTTCCCCCGACTGTAGTTGTGATGAAAAATGTGATAATGATATGTAAAGATAGTTAATACAATACCTGGCATATGAGAAAGGATCAGTAAGCCACAGTTAGTGATATCTGAGTAAAAGAGGTGGCAATGGCCTCTCAAGAGAAGATAAAGCATGAATAATGTTCATGAACCTAGTATTCCCGATTTCCTTGGCCTGCTCACAGCCTGTCTTTTCAATCTTATTCTGGCTACTTTCCCTCATGACTATCCTGTTACCACCTGCAACTACTTACCAATCCAAGTAAAAATTATATTATAATTTAATGTTTTCCAAATGCATTCATGTACCACCCAAACTAATTCTGCAATGTCTACACAACACCTGCACTAGTAATTTTGCCTCCATTTTTCCTTGAATTACTGAAGTTTTCACCTTACTGAAGTTTTCACTTAAAAGACATCTATTTGGTTAAAACATTTTATACCACAATGTTAAATGGAAATCTCGCATTACCTTCCTTTCCATAAGGTGAAGAGAACTAAAAAATAAATGCAATCTGAAGCCCTTTTTACTGCGTTCCAGTTACTGTTGTCTGCCATCATATTTGGGCCTCTATGTTAGAGTAGGGGGAGAGATGAGTGTCTAGTTAGCTAACAAGGATGCAAAGGGGTTAAAGATGCATTAGTGTGAAATTGAGGCCTTTTTTTTTTCCTGAATAAAAGTATTGAAAGATGATTAGAAAGAGAAAATCCTCTCACTGTGTAATTCAATATTATTTAATGTTACTTCTGCATATTGTGCATATCAGCAGGGGTACAGCACCTTTGAGAAACATCGCCTTGATTCATGCCATCCAGACTTCTCTGTTTATCCCAATCCATATCTTACGATGCTTTCTCAAGCCCCACCCCCTCCGCGGAGCCTCCCTTGATTATTCCATTCAGCTGTAAGCTCCCTGCCTTTAGATCAAGGTGCTTGGTGTTAACCCATTTGGAAATAAATCCACGCACTTCCTTATGACATCTGTTCCATGACTGCCACACTGGCATTTTGCTCTTGCATTTTTAACACTGTATAGGTTTTTCTTGTCCCTTCCCCTATATAAGTCACTGTGGGTGGGGACTCTGTCTTTTCTGCCCACATTATCCCATGCATACGTTGAAAATGGTAAGCATGTGGTACATATATGTAGAATGAGTGGCTAAAACATGTGGTCCATGAGAACGTCAAGTACTACGGTCATACTGGAGAACTGAGATAATCTAAATGAGGGCTGAAAATAGCGACATGAACTAGGCATTACTGGAATAGAAATATTTGAATATTAGGTAGCAGGAAAAAGTTTTCCTGAGATAATTTTGGTTTCATATAACTGTGAGAAAGATGGTGGGTAGCACCGTCATCAGAAACTCACCATGTCCCTGGAGTCCAGTACTAACAGGGCTCTATCCAGGTGGTCCTATCAAAGGAACCAATCATCATATTCTTGCCAAGGTCTTTTATCTCTCATTTGACTCACTAGGAAACGTGAATTATTCCTTTTAGGATATAGGTTTTATTACCCCTTTTTACTGATAGGTATATGAAGCTTAACCTGCTATAACACGAAAGCAGCCATTTCACAATGTGTCTGAATGCACCACAGTGGAATTTCAGAAATATAAAGACAATTTTGAAGGCAGCAATGTCGAGAAAAAATAATACCATACAAAAGAGGGTAAAACAGTAAAGTGAATTCTCTTGCATCCTACACTTTAAGTGTGAGATTGGAACACCAACTAGAAGGCTTCGTTCAAGCTAGCGGTAGGGCTCTCACATTATTTTCTACGAGGCCCCGTGTAATAATCAGGATATTAATCACCACATAGCTAGGTGTGCTGTCTGAAAGGATAGAATTTCATTTTATGCATTTGGGGAATGTCACTTTAGAGAAAATCAGATGATAGGCAGAAGAAAGCGAAGAGATAGAAAAAGGAATCACAGTTGAGAGCTTAGGGCTGCTGTCCATCCCTTGCCTTTCTCTCCTTATTCTTAAATGTGGTGGCAAGTTTCTTCACTCATGAAGTGTTAAAGGCTTTCTTAGAAGCAAGTGGGAAGTTCTAAAAGGGGCTTTTGTTAGAATTGGGAGAGGTCTTGGAAATCATCCAGTTCAAACTCCACATTCTGTAAAGAAAGAAAGAGAACACCAGAGAAGAGCATAAACTGTCCGAGGTCACTCAGTTACTTTCGGCAAAGGGAGGTCTGGAATGCTGGTCTCTTGAACCAAATCTCCAGCCTCAGCCTATCCAGTGCCTCCCCAAAGAACTCTCTTCTTGGAGCTCAAAGCCTGAGGCCTTTCCTTCTCATTTCAGCCCAGGCTGTAGTAATAGTGAGAACACAGGAGTATACATTACAGAGATCACAGATAATTCATCAGATACCTGTGACTCTTCCACTAAGAGCTCTGCCAGCCACCTCGGCAAGCATATGGCTCACGGAGGTGACTTCCCTCCTTGGCAACTGGAGTGAACAAGCACTACTCTCCCGTTTCACGCTACCATCGGCACTCCATCTCTGTGTAAGCAAAGCTGCTTTTTGTTTAGAATTGAGTAGACGGAGTCGTGCTTTGAGGACAGATGTGAACATATGATCATTTTCTTTCTTCTGCAAGAGAATTTAAATCTCTTGGATAATTTGCGACAGTCCGCATGACTAGTTTGAATGCTTTACAACGTAAGAGCCAATCTCTAGGTAAGTGTTAAATAACCCTCCAAACTCACAAAGATTAAATTAGCTTTGCTTGCAAGAAACTATGCTATTTTATTTTATTATTATTTTTTTAAATATTCATTTTTGAGAAAGACAAACAGACAGACAGAGTGTGAGCAGGGGAGGGGCAGAGGGAGAGGGAGACAGAATCTGAGGCAGGCTCCAGGCTCCGAGCTGTCAGCAGAGCCCAATGTGGGGCTCGAACCCATGAACCTCGAGATCATGACCTGAGCCGAAGTCGGATGTTCAAACGACTGAGCCACCCAGAAAACTGTGCCCCAGAAACTGCGCTATTTTAAAATGATCCAAATCTTTTCTTAAATTTATCAGGATTACTTCCTAGATGAATATACTTCATTGGCCTTATGAAGTACAATGACATTTGTTCAAGAAATACAAATTATTCTACCAAATGAAAAAAGTATGTTTTAGTGATTTATTTTCATTAGTAAATAAATTTCTAAGCACAAAAGAGATTATTGCTTTGCCTACAATGGTGATCACAAAGAATCTTTTAACGTAAAAAGTCATATGGGGCTCCTGGATGGCTCAATTAGCGTCTGATTGTCGGCTCCAGTCATGATCTCATGGTTTGTGAGTTCGAGCCCCTCATCTGGCTCTGTGCTGACAACTCAGAACCTACTTCAGAGCCTCTGTCTTCCCCACCCCCACTCACATGCACGCACACGCTCTCTCTCTCCCTCTTTCAAAAATAAACATTAAAAGAAATAAAGTAAAAAGTCATAATGCCTTAAAACACCAAAGAAAAAGCTATTACCAAAATAGCTAAGGGAAGGCTTTGGGAAAATATAAATATACATAAATATATTTAATTTTTTTTAATGTTTTTATTTATTTTTGAGACACAGAAAAACAGAGCATGAGCAGGGGAGGGGATATAGGTTTTATCCTATAGATATATATATATATATAGAGAGAGAGAGAGAGAGAGATATCCTATAGAGAGAGAGAGGGGGACACAGAATCCGAAGCAGGCTCCAGGCTCCGAGCTGTCAGCACAGGACCCAACGTGGGGCTCAAACTCACAGACTGTGAGATCATGACCTGAGCTGAAGTCAATTGCCTAACCGACTGAGCTATCCAGGCGCCCCTACATAAATATATTTAAAAGTAAGGGGGCGCCTGGGTGGCGCAGTCGGTTAAGCGTCCGACTTCAGCCAGGTCACGATCTCGCGGTCCGTGAGTTCGAGCCCCGCGTCGGGCTCTGGGCTGATGGCTCGGAGCCTGGAGCCTGTTTCCGATTCTGTGTCTCCCTCTCTCTCTGCCCCTCCCCCGTTCATGCTCTGTCTCTCTCTGTCCCAAAAATAAATAAACGTTGAAAAAAAAAAATTTTTTTAAAAAAATTTAAAAGTAAGGAGCCACTTTCCTACTACTGCCAAATCTCAAAGGATTGAGTAAAAATCAGGTATGCTCATAGCAGAACTGTTCTGTTTCCTGAACAAGGGAACTATGGAAAAACACCTCCCGGGTCCAAAAATGTTGGAAGATTTGTTGCCTCTTGATTCCTTGCTTTAACCCTGAGCTCTTCTGAATGGCAAATTCAGTTCCTCTTTTCCTATCACCCACTCTCATAAAGGGAATTCCAGTACAAACTGGGAAAAACAAATTTCTCTTTGGGACTATTATCAACCACAACAAAAATAGGAAAAAGAACATCTCCCCCATGAAGCCCCCTTGACTTCCTTTGAGCCCATGGTTGTCCCCCATCCTTAAACACTGTGACACATACAGGATGCTCTAAAGTGCTCAGCACTTGAGGCACCTGGCTGGCTCAGTTGGTGGAGCATGTGACTTTTGATCTCAAGAGTCATGAGTTCAAAGACCACTTTGGGCATAGAGATTGCTTAAAAATAAGTAAATAAGGGGCACCTGGGTGGCTCAGTCAGTTAAGCATCCGACTTCGGCTCAGGTCATGATCTCGTGGTTTGTGAGTTCAAGCCCCATGTCAGGTTCTGTGCTGACAGCGCAG